AGGGTTCCAGAGCACTGGAACAGGCTCCCCAGGGAGGTTGTGGAGTCTCCTTCCTTAGAGACTTTTAAGACCCATCTGTCTGTGTTCCTGTGTGACCTGCCCTAGAGTCCTGCTTTGGCTGGGGGGTTGGACTTGATCTCTGGAGATCCCTCCCAACTCTTAACATTCTGTGATTTTGTAATCTAATTGCAGCTCACTGTAGCTTCATCTTGGTCAATCTCCTGTGAATTTAAATTAGTATCAAAATATCTCCACAATACATTTTAATGGACAGCTGCTCAAGTTCTTAGCAAACATATGACTTCGGTAATTGTTTCTAAAACCAGATGTTTAAGAAATCATGTGACTTGCAAAAGAAAGTTTATTCTTTTTTCATCTTTTAACTTGTCCACAACATCACTAGACTTCTGTCAGGCTTCCTTATTCACACTTTCACTACACAGACATTTTACATACCCTTATTCCATGAAAAATTAATGGGAAACCCTTCCTGGGCAACTTCCCCCAGTGCAACAAAGAAGTAGCTACTGAAGCATCTGCACAAACTTGCAGCTCCTTATGATAAAACAATTTAGATGGCAAGGCTAGCAATGCAGAATGTGACCTGTAGTTCTTTACAAGTTTTGTGATCTGCAAAGACAAAAAACAAAATCTGTAATTGTTCATCATACTTCACTGTACACATCTCTCATGCAGATACTACTTCACCATCCTCTGGCATTTAGCTTTTCTAAAGCTGCTGAAGAATTGTACTAAAGGAAAAAAATGCACGTGTGATCTTATAAAAGTAAATACTAAATAAAAGCAGTTTTTTGAAGGACCATCTCTTTACTCTTAAAAGGAAAAAAAAGAAAGAAAAAAGAGCTGAATGTACATGACAGATCAATTGGTCATTCCCCAGCTTCTTAACACATCTGATCTACAGGCACACTTTTTTTTTTCCCTCTAAGAGAGTCAGATTCTTGCCATGTGGTTTCAATGAATGCAACCTGTTTTTCTGAGGAGGCCTTAACAGGTAGGAAGGGAACTTCAGAACAGCTGACAAAAGCTGGCGTTAGAAACTATGAATATATTTGTCTTGAAATAAAAGAATGGCTGGTCAGTAATAAACAGCTCAAAAAAAAAATCCTGTGAAAAGACTAATGTATGATACTCAGGTCCAATGGCATCCTTAAACCCCTCATACTTCCTGCTCTCTCACTATGCCAATTCTCCTCAAGCACTGTATAGAGGACACAACAATGCAAGTTTGCTGTAACAGATTTTTGGAGGAAGCAGGACAGGTTTTTCAGTAGGCTGAGCCCAACCTAAAGCCTAGGCCCAAACAGCCCTGCTTTCCCCCTCAAGTCAGCCACCAGACTTCCTTCTGCTTACATTGTCATCTAGTCATCTTTTGCTCTCAGTTCAGTTATTCAAATTATATTACCATGAGACTTGGAAGGCATCTTAGTAAGTTTTATTTTAGCCTTGTATTTCACATTCAGACAATAATTTAAAGCAGCTGAAGCATCTGTGCTCATTTGTGTACTATGCTGCCTCTGCCCCTTAACAGGCCAGACTTCAGGCACTTCACCAAACAAGGGTCTTGGGAAGCTATGCTTCAGAGGAAGGGGTGATAAAGAAACAGGAAGTTTCAGCATCAGGGAACAAATAGGTGGTAAGGAAACAGCAGGAAACACAGTCTCTCCTTTTTGATTTAGACTTTAAAAAAAAATTAATTAATTAAAATTGTAGTTTCACTCACCAGCAAAGGATTATATGCTCCACAGGCACTAAAAGCATCCTCATCTCTCAGATACATCTCTCTTGATGTCAGTCTTTCCAGCAAGGACACATTTAAACCAAAAGCCAGTGCAATTTTAGATTTTATTACTGGCCCTAACTGCTTTGGATCACCAACAAGAACGATCTGTACATGCAATTAGAAAAACACCATCTTGCATTAGAATAGTTATTAAAAAATGTAATTTCAATAGCAACATACACACTTCAGAACTGAAAGGTCAGTTTATATCAAGTACTCTGCCTTCCTCCAAACACCTGATCTGTTTGCAAAGAAGAGTTAGGCCCAGGACAGAAGTGCACTGTTGTCTTAAACTGTGAAAGGGTATCTTTATTTTGGCATCTTCCACACACTGAATTATGTAGACTTGTACCAATGTAGACTTGTTTTAGATGCAAAACAACTCATTTAAGTATGGGAAATGGATATCGTGCATCAAAAATATTTATCACAAGTACTTAATTCCATACTCATTAGCAGGAAATAGCTGCTAGCATTCTACATCATCCACAAAAATAAAAACAGTAACCCAAAACTTTTTTCCTTTCAGCAAATGATGCTAAAGCAACTACCTGTCCATTAGCTTCTGAAATCAACCCAATAGGAATCAGGCTCTCTGGTTCACTTGCTTGCCCTGCCTCATCCAGAATCACATGAGTGAAGTGTCCAAGCCTAGAATTAAACAACATGAACCCAAAACAGGGTTGTTTTCAGATTAGTTCATCCTGCCACCCTGTGGTTGACCTCAGCAATTCTGTTAATTTGTCAAGTGTGCCAGACACGTACCAAACAAAACAAGCCAGTTAGGCTTCAGGGTGTCCTTTTACAAAGTTAAATTCAAACCAAAGGAATCTTTAGTTAACAGCACTTGACACGGTGATTGTTTACAATCTGTGACATTATTCAAGACAATTCTTAAACTTACCATGGAGAAAGTCTCTGCTGAAATATTACTAAAACCAGGTGGTCTGCTAGAAAGACAATTTCAAAAGAGAGGCACATGCAACAGACTGTATTAAAACAGCTCCAGTTACAGTACAGGGGGTATCTAAAAGCTCTGGGTTTTGTAGTAACCAGCTCCCTCAGCAATACTCCTTTCTATAGTACCTTACCGTATTTCTGCTTGGTAAAACATCCCTGCACTGCTGCATGTGGTAATTACTATCCTGAACCACAATGCCTTCTGAACATCATCACCATCTTTGCAGTAAGGTTTCACCAAGTCATCAATTTGCTGCAGAAACAAAAAGGTATTCTGTAATTTTGTAAAACAAAATGCTACTCCAAAGCTCAATGTTTCAGTCTGAGTAAAAAAGCCTATGGAAAACTACTTCAGAATCTGAGCAAAACACTTTGTTTTAGATTCATTCATACACTGAAATTAGTTCTTGATTAATTTGCCTAAACAAAGCAGTACATATGCCAGGCATCTGGGTTTTCTTTACTGTAAAGATGAGAACTGAACCAACATATGGATGTTTCACATACATAGATATGTGTTACAACCATATACATACATATAAAATGCACACAGTATGCATGTACTGTCTAAAGATGACAATCCTACTTACTCTTCTGTGTAAGTGGTCTTAATTTGGAGACAAAAGGCTTGACTTGAGTAACTGATTTTAAGATTGCTTTGTTAGTCAAAGCATCTTACCACATTAAAAATCCCAACGATACTTACGTTCTGCTTGTGGAGCTAAGCACTGCAGGGAAGAGGTTAAGATTCTACACTCATACAATCCAATTAAGCACTATGAACAACGTTTTCCAGTTAATCCTCTGGAAAAGCTGGAGTAGTATGCTGGCACACTGGATCCTATGCAAGTCTAACTAGCCTAATAACCACTGACAGTTACATTATCAAGTCACTATTTCAAGATGAATATATTGAAGTGGAAATATTAACAGGCAGATATCTATAATAGTTACCTCTATTGACCTGTAGCTAGCATTAACTCGGACCATAGCTCCTGGCTTTAACAGATTGCTTTGATGCAGCCGCAAGCAAATCAGATCTGTTGCAGCATTTGATGGTGCACAAACCAGAATTCGGCTGTCTGGTAGAGTATAATGTATCTACATTACAGAAGAGGGATATTAAAAAGGGTTATTTAGAAGCAGCAATAGCTCAGACATGCCCGTTTTGTTTCACTGACTACAGAATCCAGAAGATGATATTCCTTCATCCTTTTGCAGCTGAAGATCAGCAGTCTCGGCAGTCATGGCTAGGTACCCAGGGCACCAACAACAGCATTTACTCATGGCTATCACATGAACATAAACCTGTGCTTCAGAATATATTATGCACCACTGGAATCACAAGTTAGATATTGTTCACTAAAACTTCAAAGACAAAGACAAGAAGACATGAAAACAAGACGGTCAGGAATTCTGTTAAATCTACATTGAGATCTTTCCTTTCCTGGAGCTATAGAAAATGATCTTAAAAAGAGTATTTTGAAAATTCCTTGGGAAAAAAATATAGTAATTCTGTAAGTACTGTCATAAGTGTTCTAACACTGAAAAGATTATAGATGACTGTTTGGTCATCCACCATTACCTGTAAAATGGCTTCAATTACTGTTAATGTTTTCCCAGTTCCTGGTGGTCCAAAGAGGACATAAGGTGTTGGACGACATTCACCACTGAGTATCCTTCTCACTGCCAGCTTCTGTTCCTCATTCAGCATAGGATTGAAAAATTCACCAGCTCTCCCTTTAAGTGTCACAGTTTCACTAACTATAACCAAGATAATCATATATTAAAACTCTAGAGAAGTATTCTGAACATACGTAGATTAAAGCTATTCCAATTCACATTATGCTTCAAAAATTTGTTTTCCTTATGTGGTGAACAACTAATTGCTTGCTCAAAAATTCTAATTTCATAAAATACCATGCAGAAAATAAGTGTTAATATTTAAGAAGTGTATTGCATCTTTAATAAAATTGAAGGCCAGAAACACACTATGGTTACATAACCCAACAATCTGTAAAAACTATTCCATAACTTTAGCATCAGGATCACTTCTTTTTTTTTGGGCATAGATTAGAAAAACTCTAGTACTTCCAGGGACTGGTACTTCAGGGATTGTACCCATATTAGGTGACCAGTATTAAGTCACAACTATCAATTTTTTTTTTTCCTTAATCCTGCCTGAATCAGTCTAGCTTTAGCTTTCTACAGCAGGAAGGTATTAACCTCTGGACAGAAGAACATTCTAGGCAAGTGATTCCACATTTCTATTAGGCACCCTGTTGCTACAAAGTGATAAAATCACCCTCTTTGGCAATTAAGTACACTGATACTTAAAGTCACACTTTCCAGAAGAGCACAGGAATGATGTGGGCTTTCTGGAAACTTTTCTGAAGTTTTAGCATCTTTGGCAAAGTAGCTACCCCAACGATGAGACACATCTCAAACAGTAACAAGCTGGAAACTTTGTGCATGAGAAAAAGTTCCCAGTAAATAAATTATAAATTTCTAGTCATTGAGTAAAAAAAAATAAATGTATCACTAGATGTTTGCTGTCCCCTCCTTGGAAATGTTCAAGGCCAGGCTGGATTGGGCTTTGAGCAACCTGATCTAGTGGAAGGTGTCCCTGCCCATGGTAGGGTGGTTGGACTAGATGATCTTCAAAGTTCCCTTCCAGCCCAAAATATTCTATGACTCTATGAACTGAAGATGTTTAAGTAATCCACAGAAAAACTCCAATGAAACTTCCTGCTAGTATTGTTCTAGAATTTGTCTAGACAGAAAAAAAGACTGACAGAGCATAAGAACATCTACCAGGTATTTCACTCAGCCCTGGTTTACTGAAGTGACTGCAATCCTAACTGTCTGGGTTTGACTATGAAGCACTGAAGTGTACCACGTTGGTTTGGTGGCACAGCTGCTCTCCTCCCCTCAGCTCTGTCCCCCTTCCTCGGTGCCGTGCATTTCGCCTGTTTGTTCTGCACTTCTTTGACCTGAAAACAGCAAGTAAAGTTAAATGCATTCATAACCTTAACATGACACACAACTATCTTCACTAACACTTTTAAAGTTTCTAGGTGGTACTTTTTCTCATTAACTAGCACTATCCCATTACATAGAATGCCTACTGTGAAGACAGAGCAGAAAAAGGTGGTACTAGGAATTCCCACCTTACATTTAAGATTTCTAAAAGTTTGGCTTATGTTACCATTAAATATTTACTTTGCAAATGTTTAGCAGGCTCAGGTGAGGATTTTGAAGCTGTGGTTGAGTACCTTGTTTTTTTCCACAAAAGCTAACATGTACTTCCCATACCACTAAGCAAGATGATTTGTCTTTCAGATTGCAGCAGGGGAGGAAACTGCTTGTAGGGAATGTGGTGTTTGCAAGGTTCTAGACCAGATACCTCAATCATCTTAATAATACTGACCCTAACCCAGTGAACTGATGAGTGTTAGAGGTCAATTACTCCTTCTTGAAAAGGACAGAGCTATCATCCAGAGATGTTTGCTGCTTCCCCAGAGCCAAGATGTCATGGAAAGACTTCAAGGATCTTCTAGTCCTTCCAACTAATCCCTTTGCTGCTTACCCACATGAGTACTAATGACACTCTGAACAGATCTAGGATGGGATCATATAGCTCTGGGTAAGCATGGGGGAGCCCATGTGATGTTTGCCACCACCCTTCTAGTCAAACAGAAAGGCCCCAGCAGAAGCAGGCATCTTGAAGAACAGGATCTAGCTGGGCTGCTGCTCCCATCAGCACGGCTCTGGATCTGTGTGTAGGAGCTCCCCGACTACACATTATTAATTGCAAAATCAGAGACATGCCTGAGGTGTTACCACAGGAGGGTGGAACAACAGCAATGCTGCCTGGGGGGCTGTAACAGATCCCCACCAGAAGGAAGATAATGTGGACAAGATGTCTGATAAACGATTGGCATCAGTGTCCTGATCACAGGTCGTGCAACTTCCTGGAGATTTCAGTGACTCACACACCTGCTGCAATTCACCCAGGGAATGTCCAGACTTTCTTGATTGAGTTGGTGACAGCTTCCTAACACAAATGGCCGAAATACTGATCAGAAATAACACTCTGCTGGTCTTGCTCTCATACACTGGAAAAAGCACATGTCTAGACAGCAGCTTCTGCTGCAGAGATTGCGAGACTGGAGGAAGGCAAAGAACGTAAAGCAGGAGGGGCAAAATCACCTGGGAAGCTACCATGTGGGGGAAAAGGTGCTCAGGAGAGCAAAAACTATCTTATTGAGAGATCATAAGACAAACCAGCCTGCTGCACAAGATCATCAGCAATTTCAGTAGAAGGCCTGCTCAGCTAAGCTTGTAGCTTCTTGGTGAAATCAAAGACAGCTGGACAAAATCAGGAAGGTCAAAGAAATCAAAGTACAGCTGAAGCTAAAACCTGGCAAGCACAGTGATAAGAACAGATGCAGTGAAAGAGAGAGTTTGAGGACCATGGAGGTTCTTAGATGGATGAAAGATGACAATTTATTGATGGATGATATGGGAAGGAACACAATGCCCTTGCTGCCTCTCCCTCTGTGAAGTAACATAACAGTATGTGAAGAAAAGGAACTAGTAACAGAAGGGGAGGATCATGCTACTGCTTAGAAACACTGGACTGGGGAGATAGGATTCAATGTGCTGATACGATTGTGAGCACTGCTGCCTATTATCTACAATAAAAAATAATCAAGACAAGCCACGGAATGTCTCTGACAACAGGGAAAAGCTATTGCTCAAATTTAAGATGGACAAAGAAGATCTGGGGAACTATAGCTTGTCAATCTTCCTCCAGTCCCTGGGAATATCATGGAGCACATCCTTCAAAACTGCAGAAAAAGGTGACCAGGAATAGTCACCATGGCTAAACACAGGGGTAGACCTTTCATGAGTAACCTGATTTTCCTCTACGGTGGGCAGACTATTCTATGAATAAAATAAAAGTTGTCATTGTAATACTCCTTGACTTCAGCAAGGCTTTTGGAATGGTTTACTTAACACATCATTCTTATTTGTAGCCTGAGGATGTATTAGCTAGACCAACAGACAGATGAGTTGAAAATTGACTGAACAACTGGGCTGAGAGAGCATTAAGCAAACATTTGATACTCAGCTGGAAGTTGGTTAAAAGCTAAGAATCCCAGGGGTGTTGTTTGGACCAGTACTATTCAGTACCTTCATCAATAACCAGATGAGAACAAACAACATCCTTGACAAACCTGCAGACAACACAACATCAGGAGTCATGCCTCAAATGCCCAATGGTGTATCTTCAATTCAGAGGGACCATGAGAAACTCGGCAGCAGAACTAACAGAAAACTCATGAAATTCAGTAAGGAGAAGTGGAAAGTTCCACACCTGGGCCATGAATAACTGTGTGAACAAAGACAGGCTGAGAACCCACTGTCTGAGGTAGTAATCCTTCACCCTTGTCAGGATCCTGGGTTACTGGGGATACCAGAACTGTGTATGAGCCAGTACCATATTCTTGTTATGAACTGGAGAGTTGGAGAGAGCTTGGATTTTCAGTCTGGACATGAGGAGGTGAAGAGACAGTCTAATAGTCCATGATGACTTATATCAGAGTTACAAAAGACCCAATGAGACAAATACTTCTTCATACCACATACGGTATAACAATGGTCCACAAGCTGTAGGTGGAAGATTCATACGGGGGATTAGGAAAAGCAAATCTTGAGTGGAAAGGTGGTGAAGCACAGGTTATGCAGAGGCTGTGGAACCTGCAGACAAAAATAAACACCCTCTCCACCTCTCAGTCTGACTTGATTTAGTATTAGTGACAACCCTGCTTCAAACAGGACCTTTCTGAAGTCCTTTCTAAGACAGAACTATACATTTTCTCCATATAATTTAACTGAATAAATTGCCCAGAACAGGATTATTACATTCTAGCAATTATTATAAATTATAATCAATTATAATAAATTCCAGTTATAATTATACAGTTTTTTTATAAGCACTTTCCAGTTAAGATGGGAGTGTTACCTTCACAGTACCAGTTATCACAAAATCCCATCCCCAGGCAGCAAACAAAAACATCTGTCATCGGAAAGCAGAATACAACTTTGATCTTTGATATCCTATGATGCAATTCCTTTCCAACAATAGCTGTACACTAGGCATCTGTTACCCATTTGAATGATATTCAGCATTTTAAGGAACATTCACAGAATAGATACCTTACTTTCCTGTTGGAAACACTGCTGAATGCCACCATTATCAACAAAACACTCAGCAGTATTCTGGGTCTTGATAGTTTGCGGTGGTCGTAAGACAAGTTTTTCTGGAAATAACACTTCACATTCAGATGAGAGGGAGAAAGAAAGTGGAGAAATTTGAAAGCCACACAAACACTTCACACATTTCACCGACTACATTACTGATACAAATTGATACACCAGGTTACTCTAAGTTGCCAAAACTGGTTTAATTAGAACTAATGTAAAAGTGGTAAAAGACCTGTGTGAAGTTCACATGGATTGTGCCACTCAACCATAAACCAGGAAATCAGTGCTGTTTAATAAACTGAGGTAACACAAGACACAGCTATTTCACTTGCTCTTAACAGTATGTTTTCTACAGTTCTTATTTACACCAACAGTTCTCATTTGTTTCCACTCCTCTCCCCCACGAACACCAGCAGATGAAATCATTCTGATGACACCTACTCTAGATTCAAGAGTTCTTTAAAAAAATTACAGAAAACTCCCCTAAGAACAACCTACAATGTATTCTTCCCAGTATGCACTGATGTGACAGCAATATAAAACACAACACTCCCCACAAACTCCCCTAGACAGCTGAAGTGAAGTGTACCTTTTTCACCCAGGTAGACAGCTTGCTCAACTGCAAAGTGGCACCGCCTGGTAGTAAGCCTGTTATCAGAACACAGATTTGTAGGTTAAAGTAAAAGCTTACATTTCCATAAACCACAGCAGCATATACCTACAACTTACCTGGTATTTTTTTATTATGCACCAGAACATATGAAAATAGGGGGTTTATATACAAGGACTTTTTTTGTTGTTTAAGAAGCATCTGTGGAGGCACATGCTGCAGAATGCAGCTTTGCCACGAATAACATCCACAGATACATTCCCTAGCTCTTCAGTGAGCCAATAACAGTCTGGTCTTCCAGACCCTGATAGTTTTTCCACAGAAATTCTCTGCAAAATTGATTTTACAGAGAAGATTAAGCAACTATACATACGTAACAAAATCCCATCAACAAAACAGAGGAGGATGAGTGGTTAACATCTGCAATTTCTTTGCATAGCCTTGCAACCTTATTGGTATCTTTAAAAAAAAGAAAAAACAAGAAAAAAAAACAAAAAGTACCCCCCCCCCAACTTTACTTCCTGGCATTGGTGTAATCATTTAGAGAGGCTTAATACAAGAATTCTTTGTACACGGTGACTACAGTCTTTTACCAATCAACACAGTGGCAAAGGTGCATAGGTGAAAGAACCAGCAAGATCTCAGCTATGTCCTTCTCCAATCCGTATGCAGCAAAACAACCAACTGACAGTCATGTGTATTTTAAAATTCACTTTACTAGAGGAATCATTAAATGTAGCTTTTCAGAAACTTATAAAAATACCTAGAGTGAAGAAATTCCACATCCATGGGTTCCGAGTTGTAAACCTGTTCAAAGTCTGGATTAAATTTAAGAGTAACATCTTCATTACATATCTGTTGCAAAGATGAAAAACATCAGTTTACTGATGAAGGTTTAGTACTTTAAACACAAAGCAATATCTCTGAAAATACTGAATCCTCCTATCACCTCCAAAAAGAATATCTAGATGTCTATCAACATATTGAGCGACATATCCAGATTATGAGGGGTTTCAGAACACGTAAAGACTGTAATCTGGAAAGATTACAGAAGCTAAAATTTTCAAAAAATACAATAAAACACACAAAGTCATCTCTTAAAATGCTGATAAAACAAATGCAGCTTCCCAAAAGTCAGGTTAAACTAGTCTCTAAGTCCATGAATTGCCAGCTTCCCCTTTGAAACTGGTGGAACTCAGTACTTTCAATGGGAGATACACCTTGCTTACCTCAGTAATATAGCCAATGTACTCTATTACATGCTCAGAGTAGACCTGACTTTTCAGTATCACCTTATCACCTATTTGTAAATAAACATAAAAAGCAAAATACTGTTAAAAGGAATAGTGAAATGCTTGCTGCAGCAGCTAATTCCTCCTTCTTTTGCATGGTTAAACTAGGAATTTGCAGGGTGCTAGATGTTAACTTCAGCAAAGTTGCTATATCTGTGAGTACCTGTTCCGAAATGTCATATGCAGCTGTATATGACATTTTAGAAGGCACCTGATCAGAGAACACCTCCTGAAAACAGTCTTGTATATTGTATTATTCGAGAATCTGACTTTAGTTTTAAGTGCTTGCTCAGCTTTTGATACATTTATTGTCTTTTAAGTTATTACTACATTGCAGTTTATTTCTGCTGAAAGCCCCACCAATTTTTGTACCTGAAAAATCCTAAAGCACTGGAACATGCATAAGAACAGGTATGTGCAAGGCTGCATCAGACAGCAGCCACTCTAAGACTAACACCAAGACACTAACAGAGCAGTTCACCTGTCTAGTAGCCTAGATTAATAACTTTGTGAAAGGCTTCTTTAAACAAATGAATAAGGAATGGAGTTTGTGTTGCACTGGAAATGTTGACCAGCATGCTATTTAGCTTTATCACACGTTAACTACTACCTGTAACCAGGCGAGGTCTGCCTTCTTCCACCCCTGGCACTTCCAACACCAACAAGTTCCCATTCCTTTTCAAAGTAACCCCACTCATGCTAAAGTCTTTTATCTCCATTTCTGCATGGATCTCTTCAAGCCACAAGAGAGTAGAAAAGTTTGCTTTATAATTGTCTAGATTAAGATGCTGAAAAACAGAACAGTACACATTACTGCTTTAACTTCTACGTTAAGATTCGGAGCCCACTATTTTTATTGTTATACAAAACATCTCTTAAGGCAGACTGCACAGCAACTGGGTTTCCAATGAAGGCACCTACATACATGTATCTATAGGACAGCCAATATTTTAAACTCTCCTAGAATGAAAGCAGAATGAGTGTCATCCTTGGAGCTCAGATACAATAGCCAGTCAGCCAAAGAGTTAACCAAGTCTCGGCCTCCTACCGTGGTGGTTTCATTATCTGAATTTTGGGTCACTGAATAAAAACTGAATTCTATGCTCAGAAATTCCAGGAAGCATAAAATCAAAGTGCACTGGGCAGAGATGGGTGAAGACAGAGTCATGTCAGTCTTGGCCCTGGCTGATGATTATGCAGCTTATGGCATCGAAGAACCTAAACTTTCTCCGGCAGAGCTTAATGGATCTCACTGAGGAGGTGACTGACAGGACAACAGTACAAAGCTCTGAACAGTGACTGGTAGCACAGAATGCTTTTTGTTTGGTATCTTCTCACTCAACTACAAGGCAAATGAGCAGTGCTTTCTGGAGCAGACTTACAACAGTCACCTCTACAGACAGAACCTAAGGTATGGTTAAAAACAGTTACTATTGATGGCAGTCTTTCCACATAAAATTATTTCAGCTACTGCAGAGTTTTATTTTCTTTTTGAGAGGGGACCACTAACCTGGTGTCTTAATGCTGTGAGCTGTTTAGAAAGACAATATAATATTCAAAAATGTAAAAGACTAAGTATCAGCCCCAGTTTGTAAGTCCTTAAAAAGCTGGGGTGGAGGGGAGGGAAACAAACCCAAAATGCCCTTTCCAATGATCCCTAAAAAGTGAGAATGAAGAGGAATCTTTGCTCAGCTTCTGTAATATCTCCCCAGCAGTATACTTCTACTCCCCTTTCAGTTTTTCACATATCCCCTTTTCTGCTCTTGTAAACTTGAATTCAGTGACATAGTGAAACCCATGGAAGTTATGGGATACAGACTGAAGTCCTAAGTCTACCTGGTAACAGTAGTACATCATCTTCTATTACACAAAGGGCTACATATTTTTGCTAAATTAAGGCCAGCTGGAACAAACACACTTACATAAAATATATTTTCTTATATAAATCTACACTTGCATACCTCTGCTAGAAGAGGCTGAAAGGTCAGTATGTCTAAATTCTCCTCCACACATTTTCTTAGCTTCTCTGGCACGGTGTAAGAGGGGATAAAGCTCGGCAACCTCCTGCGATTACTGAAAGCAAAATGTATGACACAGTTTGAGAAATCTAAACAATACATGTGAAAACCAGCTAATTAACATGCTGCATCATCAAGGCTATAAAACCAAAACACACGCATACGACAGACCAAATGATGGCAAGTGACAACTGAGTTGTTTTCTATACTGGCAAGAAAGATAAAATACTCCAGTTACAGATTATTTGGAAACACTGTGCATCTGCTTTTTCAATTTAGGGATATTTTTTATAACTAAGAAAATGCTGTAAGCATAATGAAAACTTATTTGTAAAAGAAGCAGCTCTGAATGAAAGATGGGTAACATTCATGACATAGATGTTAAAGTTGCTTGAGGAGTTAAGAAACCAGATCACTCAGAACACTATTTCTGATTTTCCATCTTTTTTTCTTAGTAACACAACTGTTACTCATCATTTACTATGCAGAAATGTTTGTTTACCACATTATATAGTAGAAAGAGCTCCTGTTTGACAAATTTACCAAGAAAACAAGCAGTTAATCACTAGAGCAACCTCTTCTATCAGTAATATGCACAATTACATGTTTACAACATACTTGCAGAGGGTCTCTCAGTTTCACATGTTTTTTGTCAGCATTACTGAACAGATATAGCAATATCAAATACAGCAGTAGTAGGTGATATTTTTTTTCTCTAATTCACTGTACCTTCTGTATTTAGGACCAACCACTGTTGTCTTGCTTGGCTGAGGCTCTTGAATAATTTTAAGCTTTCTTGGAGAAAATGGTTCCACAGGTGCTATTAGTAACTCTTCTTCACTTGTTACAGTGGCTACAACATACATGCAGAGGGTCTCTCAGTTTCACGTGTTTTTGTCAGCATTACTGAACAGATTTAGCAATATCAAATACAGCAGCAGTAGGTGATATTTTTTTTTCTCTAATTCACTGTACCTTCTGTATTTAGGACCAACCACTGTTGTCTTGCTTGGCTGAGGCTCTTGAATAATTTTAAGCTTTCTTGGAGAAAATGGTTCCACAGGTGCTATTAGTAACTCTTCTTCACTTGTTACAGTGGCTTCAATATAGTGCTCGACAGTAAAATCAGAAAAACCAAGCAACAGGAGTTCTTTACTGTACCCTGGATTACTTCAAGTAAGAAGAAGTTATATTTTTAAAACCATCATGTTCCCACTTTATTTTCCTCATCTTTAAGTATTTTTTACAATAAAATTGTAGATTCCTATAGTCAGTAATAAAGGACAACTGCTAACCTGCAGTAATTCCTCACATTTACTCCCCACCCTGAGGTCAATAGAGGTATCACAAGTAACTAAAAAACAACACAAACCAAAAGAGTAAAAATATCAAAAACTCAATTTCATAAAAAAGTTTCATGAAGAGCAAAATCCCTTCCCTCAACATACTATGTAATGAATTAACACTTCTGTCATAAGGAATATCTTGGAATTACTGCTACTGAAAAATATTAGCCAAACACTTCCATCAGAAGAACCTGAAGCACACCCTTCACTCTCTGCAGCAGCACATCCCTTCACTCTATGCAGCAACAACTCTGCTCCCCCTTGCTTCAGGCTACTCAGAAATGAACCTTATGTGCAAACACATCAAGTGTAGAGAGTAGGAAAGCAGCAGGAAAAATCCCTTACTTCTGAAAAACACACTTCATGTATGTATGGATTGGGAATGATGGGGCAGAGGAGGGGGGAAGAAGAGGGAATATTTTTTTCAGATTAGTTTCTAAGGAACTTAAGACAAAGGGATGTAACACACACCACCTGCTCTGAAATCCCTGAATGAACTCATCCTAGCAATACCCAGAGCCCAATTCTCTCCTCAGCACTAACTACACAGTCTAACACAGTTACTATGTGCCTGAAACAACAGCAGCCCAGGATTTCAGCTTATTTTCTCCTTGGCAGGAGTACCATTGTTTCATGCCAACTATTACTACCTGCTCAGTTTGAAGCTACAGCCTGGTTTTCTCTGATACATGAGCTCAGTGCAGACTCTGAACTGTCCAAATTTATGCTCTAAATTTGCAGTCTCTATGGTTTCTCACATGGCCAGCAAGCACTTCATTCTGCATCCTCCCACAAAATTTTGTGTGGATTTTTTTCTATTATTAGGAGATCCTCAGATTTCATGGCATTTACAGACCTACTTTTTCCACAAAGGCAGCACACACCTGCAGCTCATCTTTCAAATTCCAGCTAAATCATCCTCCTAAGAAAATTTCTACCCCTTGCCTATTTAAAATCGTAACAGAAGTAGTATGAAACTTAATGCAGTGTTACTTGGATGAATGAAATAATTTGACCTTAGTTTAAAAGTTGCACAGAGGAAAACATCATCCTAAGTATCAATAGCTGTGGTACTCAGCCTTTGCAGAGCTACAGCTGGAAGTAATGAAAAGTACATGAAAATAAGCTTTCCAGCATGAGGTTCACACAAAGCCATTCTCTTAACTAAAGCCATAGAAATATTTTTTACAGCACAGTATTGTTGGTTTTAAAGGGTTTTCTAAAATCTGTGAACCACTTCCCCTCTAAAGTACACCTTCAATGAAGAAAGCTTTTTGCTTTTTTAATTTCAGCATATATAGCCTGCACTTAACATCTCAGGACAGGAAAGCTGGAAATAAAGGCACGTAGCAACGTAAGTATGATGTCAGGGTACCAAGACTGGAAGAAAGATACCAGACAAAGCCATTTTTTACTCTTAACTAAAGCCATAGAAATATCTTACAGCACAGTATTGTTGGCTTTAAAGGGTTTTCTAAAACCTGTGAACCACTTCCCCTCTAAAGTACACCTTCAATGAAGAAAGCTTTTTGCTTTTTTAATTTCAGCATATATAGCCTGCACTTAACATCTCAGGACAGGAAAGCTGGAAATAAAGGCACGTAGCAACGTAAGTATGATGTCAGGGTACCAAGACTGGAAGAAAGATACCAGACATAACACAAAAATTTGCAGGAAATCTACATTAACTCTAAAGCTCACAGAGCAAGGGGTTTTCTGAAAAGAATATAACTAGCTGCAGGCATTACCTGCACCTTACTGTGGTGGTGTGTTGTTGGTTTTTTTTGAGAAATTATCTATTCCCACTCTGTTTCTTCATTTAATACTATCATTTTCTTTTGACAAAACCAGAATCAGGCATTAAAAGATGAACTACTTTCAAGGTTTTATATAAATTTCCACGTTACTTGCTGATATGTACTGGCTTACCTTATCCTTCATCAGAAAGAGAACCTTGCCCAGACTAAAGGAATTAAGTCAATTTTTATGACTTGTTTTCATTGTATCAGTCAGAAGCAATGGAAAGAAATACTTACACAGCTGTGCATATGATCACTATGAATGTTTTTCCACCTGGTGGTATGACAATTTCTCCAGTCACAGAGACATGTTTTACTGGCTGTTCCACATTTTCTTCTTGATCATTTTCTCCTTCATGTAAATTTTTATCTTTCACTGAGGAAAAGTTTTCTTTTGTCCTTGATAAATTTGCATCCTGAGAATTAATTGTTTCTGTAGTAAACAGATGACAATAAATTCTATTGCCACAATTGCTATTGCTAGTCTTCTCAAAGAAACCTGCAGTACTTCTGAGGAGCTAACCCTCAGCATTCAAACGTTAACATTCCACAGTACCTGGAATGACTCCATTCTTCACAGTGAATGTATTACTCAACCACTCATGTGCTGTTCCCCCACTGTCGTTATATGGACTAAGTGCAGCTTTTGAGAGGTTTCCTTGTATTGTTGGAAAAGATGACAGATATGCTTCTGAACTGTTCTCACATTTTTGAGGCATCTGGAAGCTGAATTGCTTGTCTTTCACCCAGCCAGCTAATCTGCAGCTGATTAAGGACTGTGGTACACTCCCTTTATTCCTAGAAGTAGTTATGTAATTAATTACATAATTAGGAGCATAGTTAATGTTCTTGAGAAGCTTAATTCTACCTGAAGTCAATACAACAGTCTGTAGCTGGTTAGTTCAATGTTACTTCATAACTACTATCAGAAAGAAGGTGCACTGCAGCTTCTAACTCATGAAGACTAGAACACCTGCTAAATGTTGATATTTCTAGGTCCTATCAATGACCACACAAAGCATACAGAAATACTGTGAATAAAAAGACCTTAAAATTTATCATTGGGTAACTAACTCTTAGGAAAGACCATATAGCAACAAATACAGGGTACTCAGGTGTGCCTTCATTTCGGCCTCTATGCCGAGATGGGCAGGGTTAAGAAAGAGAAAAGCCACCAAAACCACCTCAGAGATACACCAGCATAATTCTTCAGCATCCAAGTTAAAAAATAAATAAAATATTTAGGAAAAAAACTGGTCTGCTTTCGATACATGAATATGCAACAGTCCTCTTGTTCTAAGATTTTGAAGATGACAGTCTATCTGCAGTCTAAATAAAACACACTTAAAAGTAAAAGCATTGGTTCAACATGAGCCAACATTGGGCTGCATCAAAAGAAGTGTGGCCAGAAAATTGAGGGAGGTGATTCGCCCCCTTTATTCTGCTCTCATGAGACTCCACCTGGAGTACATCCAGCTCTGGAGTCCTCAACACAGGACATGGCCCTGTTGGAGCAGGTCCAGAGGAGGGCCACAAAGATGATTAGAAGGCTGGAACACCTCTCCTGTGAAAAGAAAGGCTGAGAGAGTTAGGGTTGTTCAACCTGGAGAAGAGAAGGCTTCAGGCAGACCTTACTGTGGCCTTCCAGTATCTGAAGGGGACCTACAAGAAAGCCAGACTAGGACTCTTCACGAGGGCTTGCAGCAACTGCATGAGGGGTAATCGGTTAAAACTGTAGAGGTAGATTTACATTAGAAATTAGGAGGAAGTTCTTCACTTCTTCACTCTGACAGTGGTGAGACACTGAAACAGGTGACACTCAGGGAAGCTGTGGATGCTTCACCACTGGAGGTCTGAAGACCAGATTGAATGAGGCTTTGAGCAACCTGTTCTAGTGGGAGATGTCCCTGCCCATGGCAAGGGGGTTCAAACTAGATGATTTACTAGCTCTCCAATTTACTTCAATCCTCATTCCAGAAAGGATTTTGTTAGGATTTTATAGGACTGAGGAGTCTCAAAGCACTATCTGCAAGATAGATGCTCAATAAAAAATTTAACCTAAAGACATTACATTAAATCCAAAATTCTCTTCAGTACCATAGTATTTGCAGGTCACTTGAAGACCATGAACCACAAAGGCTAAACTATGAGAGGCTTTTGTATGCAAGACAGGCTTACAAACTATGGAGTGATGGAAAGAAAGCTTAGACCAATGAGAAAGGCTTACTCCATCCAAACGATCATTCTTTTAGATTCTCCCTGCTTCAGAGTTCCAAAATCAGTCATCCTTGGTACTTCCAGTCCTTCATTGTCACTCATTTTAGAAGGCTCATCCAGATCGCCTCCATTAGAATGAGGTTGTCTGTAAAAAGAATTTTAGCTAGTCATTTCAAAACACAAGTAAACTCAGCAAACATTTTTGATTCAGCACAAGTTTAAGAGTCATTAAACCAAAGTACAGTCACAGTATTTAAGAAGATGCAGGTTAGAGTTCACTTTTTTCTCAGCTACTTGTACTTTCAAGACAATTAGAATACCTTTACTAATTTAAGCACCAAAGTAAAAACAAGGCTTTTGTCAGCAGCACAATAAACCAGCATAAAACTTTGGACACAAGACTGAAATGATTAAGAATCTGTGTTTGCTGGAGAGCTTAATCCAATGGTGACTGAAGGTACTGTGGATCTCTTTGGGAACTAATCCTAGACAACAAAAAGCAGCTCCATAGCAAGAGCCCCAGTTAGCACTGGAGATTAAGAGATAAAACGACTAGTCTGGAAGTGTTTCAACATGTACCCCAAGCA